TCCATCATCCATCATCTGTCAATCATCTGTCAATCATCCATCATCTGTCCATCATCCGTCCATCAGAGGGTCAGATGACACCATAGACTGAACATAAAACATTTAAACCTGTCTTCTGTCTCTGATCAGCAGGGGGCGACTCTATAGACTCTATAGAAGTCTATAGAAAACGTCTCCTCACTTTCTAACGTCAGTAAACTTTGTCCTCAGGAGTTTTTGTCTCAGTCTCAAGTCTTCTTCAAACAGCTGATGTTCATTAATCAATTAAGATCATTTAGAGTCAAACAGGAAGCAGCGGGTGTGTTGGGGGTGGAAACTACAGTGTGATTGACAGCTAGTACATCCAATGGGTGTGGGTGTAGGTAGGCATGTAGTGTGGGCCCTGAGTAAGGCTCCACCCCCATTCATCCAAACAGCTGAAGTCAAACCCATCAGCAGAAAATGAGTGTGAAATACAAGAAGCAGCTTTCATTTTGAAATGTTGAACCAATCCCCTCATGGTTGAGAGGGAGCAGCAGAGTTTCTCCTCTGAACGACCTCAGCGTCTTTCTTCTGCTCACAGTCCAACGGCCTCACTTCCAAAACCTGGAGCTCTGAACCACAACACCAGAGGAAGAACATCAGCAGGTCAGAGTGATTCCTTCTTCTCCTTCTCTGAACTGAATGAAGTAATGTGGCTGAGTCCAGGTGACACCACACTTACAGAACATGTGTAGATTTATATTTACTCATCCTCTTCTACATGAACACACATCTCTGTTATCTATTGTTTAATGTTGGCAAGAATTCTATTTGTCTCATGAACTGGATTCAATGAGCTGTAGATGGACTCTTTCTCTCTGAATCAGCCTGGATTCATCCTCGTCTTATTTCTCTTCATCGTTATGAATTTACAAAAGATATTTCAAAGACTCTATGTGAGAAAATAAGGGATTGAGTTTGTGGTTGTCACAGGAAAGTTTCAATCTACTGGACAATCATATCTTCTATGAATTCAAAATGTCAAACATTAGAATAGTAGTAGAGAAAAACAATAATAATATAATATAGTCAGACAATTGAGCTAGAACTGAAACCTTCACTTGATATTAAACAAACAAATGACGAAGACCTTATCAACATTCTTTCAGGCACAAAATGTAAAAAGTCCGAAATAATTTGAAATAGCAATAATTAATAACAAGAGGAACATTATTAATCCATCCACTGTAACAGGTAACAAATGTGAATAAGACAGTTACCGATTATTGATGTGTTTGATATATTTGACAGCACCTCTGGATTATAAATAATCTTATTTGATAAAAACCTGGACACATGAGAAAGGTGCCTCAGACTGAAGCTCTGTCATGGCCTCAGCTCTGGCCTCCTCCCATCATGCGTCACACTGTGAATGTGAGCAGTGTTGAGACGCTGGAACACAGAGCTGCCATTTTACAGACTTCAGGGGAACACACCAGGTCTTATGGGCCCCTGAGTCTCTGTGGGAGTGGCCCTCACCACAGCCACTGAATGAGCTCAGTGTGGAGCTGCTCCCCAACACCACTCAAACCCAGAGAAACTCCCTCCACGTTCCAAACACTCTTCAAAAACATGACCTTCTCTGACTGAAGCTTTGATTCGAACAAGAGGTTTAAATATCCGCCTCCTGTTTCATTGTACTAACGGTGACGTGTGAAAGCAGAAGTTTCATTATGTCTGTTGGTCATGTTCAGATGTTTTCTGTTATTTTTCAGTTGAGATATGAAACTGTGGCCTGTTCTAATGTGCGTGTGTCTGAGAGTCGTCTCAGGAACATTTGACTACGTGTACGAGGAGCAAGGCTTCATGGGTAAGATCTCTGACCTTCTGCTGTCACAACTTATTTCCTGAACGACTGAACCTTTAACTTTGGATCTAATGAGATGATTGTGGTCACATGAGGTGAATGTGTTTTCTTCTCATTGTGTTTCTCTCAGATCCAGAGGATGTTCTCAGTGTGAGCGTTCCTCTGGAGGGACCACAGCGCCCTCTACTGGGAGGATCACTGGTGCTGCCGTGTTACTTTGAGGTGAGAAATCTTGAGCTTTGGTTTGAAATTTTATATTCCTTTTTTTTGTATAAATCCAAATCCACTGTTCTCAGATTATAAAGGTTTAAAGAAACAATACTTTACTTTCTCATTACATTTCAAACATTAGTGTGTGAAATGTGAAANCACACACACACACACACACACACACACACACCGGCCACCACCACCACTAGCGTCACTTCCTCTCCACCTCTCTATTCACCGTACATCCACATTAGACCCTTAAATCCCCTCTCTCCTCCAACCCCCTCCTGTGCATTGGACCCCTGTTTTGCGTCAGCCCCACAATAGCACTAAGTAGGATTTAGGAGGCTGAGGGAGACTTACCCACAGGAGATTAGAGCTGCCTGTCTGTCCGCCTGCACGCCCTGAGTCTTAGGTTAAGGTGAGGTTCAACTACAGAACAAGATTTCCACTCTGGCTCAGATTTGGAGGCTTACAACAGGTTTTATTGTCACAGGATGTGAAGATATGACAGTGTTCAGTAATAATGTCACCTAATCCTGTTAACATACAATCAAACCAACAGACATTAGCAAAGACATACCCTCCTTGGCAGAGGTGATATTGAAGAAATATTAATTATTACAACATCAATGTGGAAATTAAAAATCTGAACCAAGACAAAGAATCTACAAGCACAACTAGCAACTTAACATGCTCACAATAACAATGCTACCATGCTAATGTTTAGCCGTAATGTTAAGTTATCTAAAGTTAACCTTTTAAAAAATTAGCCTAAAACACAAAGTACAGCTGAGGGTGAATGTTTGTAGTATTTGGCAAAGTTTTATCTTCTTGGGACCTTGGATATGTTATAGCTGTCAAGATATTTCACTCTCAAACAGAAATGTCATCCTCATGATGCTGCTAGAGATGTCCGAGGACCATTATGGAACATCCCTTTGTTCTATAACATAAATCAATATGTTACTAGACCAACAACCTCAACTTTATCTTCTTCCCCTATCTCAGAGGCGTGGGAGGTCCCGTTCGAGGAGATATCGGACCTGCAGTGGGTGGGCAGCGGGGCTCAGGGCGCCGTCTTCCTGGGCAAACTGCACGGACAGGAAGTGGCTGTCAAGAAAGTGAGAAACATCAAGGAGACTGACATCAAGCACCTGCGCAAGCTCAAACACCCCAACATCATCACCTTCAGGTTCGTGGAAAGTACTAAGTACTAACTCTTTGACACAAAGAGGACTATTTGTTCAGGTTATATCTTAAAAGACTTTTTATCCTAACATACTGTAAACATTTGTCTCCACTCTCAGAGGTATTTGTACCCAGGCTCCATGTTACTGCATCCTCATGGAGTACTGTGCTCAGGGGCAGCTGTACGAGGTGCTGAGAGCGGGCAGGAAGATCACTCCCTCCCTTCTCATGGACTGGGCCATGGGTGTCGCTGGGGGCATGAACTATCTTCACCTCCACAAGATCATCCACAGAGACCTCAAGTCGCCAAAGTAAGTTCTGAAGACCTGGTGGGGAAAGAATGAACCAGTGGAATGCATCAATTCACAAAGACCAACAGATCCTCTAAATGTCTGTGTAGCTCTTATGATAGAGAAATAAAAGGAAAGAGGGAAGTTGTTTGATAACTTGAATAAACTCATTGATGTCAGAACCATAACTATGTCAGAGGAATATTATTTCCTTGAAATATTGAAATCAAAGTCGAAGGGGAGGTTCACAGCTCACCTGGTCTGGCAGGTGTCCCATGTACTGATGCTTGAGTCCTCCACAGGTTTGGTTCCCCAGAAAAGGCCCTTTATATTCATTTACTTTATATTTACATAGAGGGGACCCTCTCTACGGAGGCCGCCATGTTTTTTACATTAGTCCAGACTGAACAAACTAAACACCTTTTGAGTTTTTATGACAATTAAAGGCTACCACAGTTTCTTTTTCATGTTCGGAAGGAGAGGGTGAGGTGAGGGGTGTTCAGCTGCAACATGCCATTTCAACACTAGATATCACAAAATTCTACACACTGTACCTTTAAGTTACAGATTTCAGCAGATTTTTCAACATATATGAAGTCAGTCAGGTAAACTCAGACTTGATGAATGTCCTTCAATGTTTACTTCTAGCATACTGATCACCTACGACGACTCAGTGAAGATCTCTGATTTCGGCACGTCCAAAGAGCTCAGCGACAAGAGCACCAAGATGTCCTTCGCTGGGACGGTGGCCTGGATGGCTCCTGAGGTCATCCGTAACGAGCCAGTCTCGGAGAAGGTGGATATTTGGTAGGTGTTCTGCTTCCATTTAAACTGTCCTTGTTGGATCTGTGAACTCTCGTGATTTCTGTTATCTGTGGCTGAATCCACACAGAATCTCATTAGTTACAGTCTGTGGCAGTGTAGAGCACGGGATCATATTTCCAGAAAATCTATTCAGTATTATGTACAATATCTCATTACATCTGTAGGGTCTCTGCCATATCTGATGGGTTGCCCTGGGTGAGGCCCTGATCTCCCCCTGCACATTCTCGCTCACTCCCTCTCCCATCCTGCATCCCTCCATCACTCTTGCTCTCCGTCCTGAAAGGAACGCTGGCTAATTTAATAATTGATTTGCCAGATGCTGCAGTGCTCAGGAGAGGCTGGAATAACCGTCCGACCCTGCGGATGGTTTGGCCCAGGGCCAGCAGTGCATTAGCAGGGAAGTGAAAATAGGATTAAAAAGCTTTTGATGTAGAAAGCAAGCTACGCAGGGGTGTATACTGTGCAGTTTTGTTCAAAATTGTGTGAATTAATTTATAGTCGGCTGTGCTGAAGCAAAGTGGAGATGGGGTTTATCATGAACACATTTCAGGTGACAAAAACTTTGTATAGTATACTAATCTTCATAGTAATGTAAGATTTACTGACTTTAACTCAGTTCATTTCAGTTCAGTCCAACTATTATATTTTCATTAAAAAGATATCTATTAATCTATCCATCCATCCATTTATATATCTATCTAATATTTTCATATTGATGTATTCTTACTGTAAGATAATACATTGAATTAATTATATTTCTAAATGATAACATACTGTATAGAGAGACACCAGGTACTCCTCAATCTGGTACCAAACATCAAGTAAACAATAGTTTATACCTATTTTGTCTTGATATTATGATAAATCATGAACAAGGAAATGGAGAGCATCTAAAAATACACATGTAAACACAACCCCCCCCCCCCAACCTTCCTGTGATGCTAGTGGCACCTTGGATACGGCACATGATCACCATGGCAACATTGAGAGTCAGCAACAACAGACTTTCCTTAGTTACCGTCCCGATGGGCCTGCTCCCCTGCAAAACAGTTCAGTGTTTCATCAATGAGACATCTCTGGTTTTGGAAAAGTTTGGGAGTCGTAATGATTTTTCACCAAATGTTTCCAGTAAAGTGCTAAACATCAGTGAGATTTGTAATACGTACATATTAGGCTACAATCACTGGGAATTACAGATATACATCATTTTGGCTGTTATCAGTTTAACTCCACATATCATTTTTTCCTGCTGTCTGATGTTTCATCCGTTCGCTTGACATCTTTATCACGCGTCTCTCTGCAGGTCGTTCGGTGTGGTGCTCTGGGAGATGCTGACAGGAGAGGTGCCCTACAAGGATGTGGACTCATCTGCCATCATCTGGGGGGTGGGCAACAACAGTCTGCAGCTGCCTGTGCCTGATAGCTGTCCAGACAGCTTCAAGCTGCTCCTGCGGCAATGCTGGTGAGAACGTTGGGAGGGAGCAGGAGGGAAGGGGAGGAGAGAGGGGAGGAGAGGAGAGAGATGGAGGGAAGAAGAGTGAGGTGGAAAAATAAAGTTGAGGCCTCATCTGTAAGATAATGTAATAGGAGGGAAGGCATTAAGAGGGGTGAGAGAGTGAAAGTGATATTTCATGAAGAGGAAACACTTGAATGACCTCGTTTTTTCCTCTCCCTCTTTCTGTCAGGTTTAGTGTTTTCATCATGGTTACACCTGCTTGTTTTGTATTATCTGGTGCAGTATCATAATCATGGGTTATTTGCATCAGTGTTTTAGTCATGGCCTTGTTATACAGTGAGTTTAGATGGTATTTATAATGCACATGAATTATCCATAGATAATTTTAATCAGATAAGATAGGACTTTTTGTTTTATTTCAGGTTCCATTAGCCTATTAATTTAACTCTGGCTGATTTACAGTATTTTGTCCCCTGATTAATGAGCACTGTCCCTTTTAAATAAATAATAAGAAAATGAGAGATTACATTATTTCGGTGTCTCTGGTAAAACATTGTTTAATCCATTCACAGGAACTGCAAGACAAGAAACAGGCCGTCTTTCCGACAGATTCTCCTGCACCTGGACATCGCCTCAGCAGATATTTTATCTACTCCACAGGAAACGTACTTTCAGTCTCAGGTAAGCTCATTGAAATTTTGTGAGATTTCTCAACATTTTCGGATAATTCATGGATCTTGATGGAAAAAATCTAGCGTATGTAGTGAACCGATATTTATGTGTGTGTGAAATTTGTGAAAAATGTTTAATTATATTTTTTATTTTAGAATATTCATCATTTGACAGTTTACATATGACAGAGAAATTAGACAGAACCTTACATTTATATACAATACTGCACATATTCAGTTTTATATATGCTCAATATACTTATATTAAACTGAGATCAATCACCTCTGATGTCACATTCTCAGCCATTTAAACAGATAAATGGACAACAGACTAGAAAACCTCCTGTCGACAACATCCAGTATCTGTAATAGTCATTTCGGTGTCAAGCCGCTGTCATTTGTTTCCAGTCCGCCACAGTGATTTGAGGCTGTGCAGAGCGTGCAGCTTGCTCGGAGGCCCCAAGCCTCTCGGGAGCCCAATAATAATACCTGTCATTTCGATCACAACAAATTATTGTTGGTTCCTTGGTCTTTGTTCGTTGTCACACGAGAGTGCTGATTTGTGGTCAATGGAAGAACCTTTCTCCAACCTCCATCACATGAGCGACAGGGAGGGAGGGTGTGTCTGTCTGTGATTGAGTGGGGGATGGGGCCCCGTGACAAATATTGAAGACAAGTGCAAACATAAATAGATGAAGACTTAGAAAAGAATAACAGAATGGAAGAAAACACCACTGATATATATGTAATGCATGCAAAATCCTGGGAAACAAGTGTGCACACAAAATAAATATGATTCTGTTTGGTCTCAGCTGCGGTCACCTCCTCTATTTTTTTTTTTTTTTGGCGCATGATGCAAAACACAAACCTCTTTCTCTCCCTCCACTTATCCTTGATCCTTTCTTTCTCCCTGTCCCCCTTCCCCCTCCTGCTCCCCTCCCCGGTTCCTCTCCGCTCTGCCCCATAATGGATTTTTCTTGTGACGTTGGAAAGAAGTATTTTCTGCCAGAGTGTATTGATTGCTTTAATGGTAGGGAGCAGAGAGCAAAGAGAGAGAGAGAAATAGGGGACTGGAGACGTAGAAGAGTGCACAGAGTCCATTAGCTTAATAAGAACAGCCTCACTCGTGCACACACACATGCATATACGTGCACACACTCATATATCTGACTTCTGCCGTCCTGATATGACAGATATCAGATAACAGCTGTCGCGCTTCAATGTGAACAAGAAAATGCCCACACTGCATTTTTTTGTGCGTGTGTTCCTGTCATGTCAGTCAATGTTTAATATTGTTTCCTCTGTATTGATTATGATCTGACAGCTAAATAGCTTTTAGTTTCATCGATATACACAAACCTCATTCTGCAAATGAAGAGCTTTTTTTACTATGCTGCAATGAAATGTAATCTCAATGAAAAATATCTTTAGTTGTTAATATCGTGAAGTTGACAATTTATTGCCAAGTAGGTTTTTTTCAACATACAAGGAATTTGCTTTGGTGTTAACAAACACATTGAGTAAAAGAAAACAGGGAAAAGCTAATTATATGTACAATAAATATGTACAATATGGTTATATGTGCAGTATATTGCAGATTATGCAGAAGATGTGCATATATCATCATGATGGAAGATACAGGAATGGATGCAATTCCTGTATTGATCCTGCATTTCCAGCTCAGGCCGCAATTTTCTGTCCAAACCCATCTGACATGAGATAAAACTAAGCAAGTCTAACTCGACCCTGACTGGCATTCTTTTATTACCGACCCAAGCCTGATGTTTTTCCAATTATTGTGACCTGCAGTGTAAGAAATGAAGTAGAAGTAGATAGCTCAGCCAAAGTGACTGAACTCGACCCAAACCCGGATATTAATTTAACATTTCTGTCAGAAACCTGCACACACTCGTTTTCTGGTTATTCTACTGTTTAACTGGCAGTGACAGAGGAGACATATACAGCACACAATAATCGCAGTATTAGCACAAGTTGGAAAAGTATTGGTAGTAAATAGTAGTAGTGGTACTTTTTTGTACATTACCAACTGTAAAATGGTGGAATATTCAACCCTTCTCTGATAGATATGTTTTTTTTGTCTCACCAGGTGGCGTGGAGAGACGAGGTGAGGCTCCACTTTGAGAAGATCAAATCTGAGGGGACGTGTCTCCACCGGCTGGATGAGGAGCTGATCAAACGACGCAGAGAAGAACTGAGGTGAGCGGAGAAATGGGGAATAAGGGGCGCGTAAAGAGGACGGACATCTGACGATACAGAAAAGATGCAGATGCAGTTATGGTAGTCGCAGATAAATGTGCTGTGTATTTATATCCCTCCCTTCTCTGCCCTCTCCACACAGACATGCACTGGACATCCGGGAGCACTATGAGAGGAAGCTGGAGAGAGCCAACAATCTCTACATGGAGCTTAATGCCATCATGCTGCAGCTGGAAATCAAAGAGAAAGAACTGCTCAAGTATGAAAACACTGGGATTTAAATGATTTTCAAAGTCATAGTCAGACTTTGGTTTTACAGTCTTGAGAAAATGAAGCATTACGGCTGTAACATTAATGAATTATTCAAATTCTTTGGACTAACACCTTGTGATCCATGAACTTTGGTTAAGCAGCGTATATGTTATGAAAACACATAGATACGTTTATCTGTAATGTGAAGGGCCATTACTTGTAACAAAGTGCTTATCCACCGACATCCATTAAATGAATATTGGCTTTGTGTTTACGCGTCAGGAGGGAGCATTCACTGGATAAGAAGTACCCCGGCTGCTTCAAGCACCACAGCTCCAGACAGTCAGCCTCCTCCAACTCCATGGAGAAACTGATGAAGAGGCGCAACGTACCTCAGAAGCTGCCGTCGCACAGCAAGAGGTGAGAGAAACAGGGTTATTCACTGAGATGAGGCAACGTAAAGTGATATAGGATAATTATGATTTAATCTACCAGTGCAGTGCTTGTTCTAGACATGCCTGTATGGAACAGATAGTTTGTCTGGCCTCTGGTGATGCTGGTTGCAGCTTTCTTTCCAAAACTGAAAAAATGACCTTCAGTAATTGAACCGTGGCAAATGAAGACCGACTGCTGGACTCAGTTCACTGAACCCTGGAGCTGCACCAGTGCTGCTGCACAAAGAGCTGTTCACCTGTTTATTCAAGGTTCAGTTGAGCTCGATCTAGTTTACAGAACCTCAACTGGAGAATCAGCTGCTGCTGCTGCTGATGCTGTCGTGATCGATATCACTGATGATTCCAAGCCTCCTCTGTTTAATCAAACTTTATCACATTTCCAAATTACACCAAATTAGTCACTGCACTCTCCTGGGCCCTTAACAGTACACATGCCAAGTGTGAAGTCGATGAGATGAGTGGTTCTGGAGATATGTGAGCCATATACAAACAGAGATTTATGGATTTAGTTGATAGATAGATATGAGATAGATATTTTTGATTAATCCTGTCCCTGTCTTTTCCAGGCCTGACTTACTTAAGTCAGAAGTCATTCTCCCAAAACTGGACTCATCCATGACCCAGGTCACGATACCCAACAAAGGTTCTACCTCCCCTGGCCGCTCACGCAGAGGAAAGCCCCGCTACAGGAAGGCTGGAAAAGGCAGCAGTGGGGATTTGGCTCAGCTGAAAGCCACCCTCTCCTCGTCTTTAGCAATGGTCAACGCCACGTCATCCGTTCCCAGCAGCAAGCACCATCTAGACCCCAGTGCGGCCCTCAGGGGCCTGCAGCATGACCTGCTGCTCAAGAAGATGTCCTCCTCCAGCCCTGACCTCATCTCAACCACCCTGGAGGCTGAGGGCCGGAGGAAGGGGCAGGTGAGGCCCGGGCTGGACAGAGCGGGCAGCCAGAGCGCCTCAGCCGGTCTGGGGGAGAGCGGAAGGACTGAGGGGGCAGAGGAGGGGCCGGATGTAGGTGTGGGGGCCGACGACCTCGCGGAAACACCTCCGCGCAGTGACACGCCCAGCGAAGATGCGGCTTCTATTCCGTTCTCCAGCAGCCCCGACTCGCCATGCGGCCGGGGAGCAGCCGCAGGGAGGACGTCTGTACTCGGGAGCCCCCGCGTTCCCCACGACAGCGAAGAGAAGGAGGATGGAACAGTGATCACGCGCTCGCCCAGGAGTCAACGTCTCACACCTGCAGCGCTGCTCTACAGGGCAGCAGTGACACGCAGTCAGGTGAGACTCAGTGACAAATGATGTGCACTGACTTCAGCCCAGTTTCACAAAATCATCAACAAGACTTTAAAAAAGAGCAAACTGAGCAGCTTTTAGCAAATCAAACCATTTTAATGTGATTTGTTAATGAAGGAAAGATAAATTTGGCTCAGATCAGAGACATGGCTGCATGTGTTTTATTACATTAATTGCCTCCACTGTCATATTTCAAAAATCTTATGATAAGAGGAGTTATGCTTCTGATGATTTAGTCACTGTCAGTCAATTCAAAACCTGAATTAACGTTTCTAACAGTCTATACGAACGTCATCGGAGTCGTTTCTCACCAGACAGACAAATGTTGTGAAGAATAACTTGATTTCATACTGACTGTAAATAATCTCCGCAGAGACGTGGCGTGTCCTCAGAGGAAGAAGAAGGAGAAGTGGACAGTGAAGTGGAGCTGCCAAGAAGACGGTAAGATTCAAAAAGAAAAGCAGATCCAGAATGAGTCCCCACAAGAAACCTCATTTAAATTCACTAGATCCAGATTTTTTATTTACATCTGCACCAAATTGCACACACTCATGATTATCAGTCCCCTGAATATGTCAGTTTGTCATGATCCACAAATTATTCTCTGAGAAACGTCTTATCCTCTAATGTTAAAGGTTCAGTGTGTAGAATTTAGTGATATCTAGTAGAGAAGTTGCATGTTGCAGCTGAATATTTTTAATATTTTATTTAATTGATTTATTCTATATATTGTAATATTATCTCTCTCATTGTGGAATGAACTTTGTTCATTGCATTTTTCTTTTCATGTTTTGTAAAATTCCTCCAATGTATTATGGGTTATGTAGAAGTGTTTAATGAATATGTCGCCTCTCTCTTGTCAGGCGTCCCGTGAGCATGACCAAATGCCAGTCCCTGTCGACGTTTAGCTCTGAGAACTTGTCGGTGTCGGACGGCGAGGAGGGAAACACCAGTGACCACTCCCACAGCGGTACACCGGACGTAGTCAGCACCAACACCGACGAGCGTCTGGACGACAAGAGCGATGACCTACTGTCTCAGGGCTCAGAGATTCCCGCCGACCCCTCTGACCCGACCCAGCTGGGCTCCGACGGGCTGTCTGAGAAGGAAGCCATTCTACGACAAGTCAAGACCCAGCTCGCCTCAAACGACCATAATTATGAGGTTGGTGAACTGACGGAGACAAACTATTACTGGTCAAATATACAGTTCTAGTATTGCACTCAGTAGAGCACCACCAACGTACACACTCATAGATATCAGTCCTCTAAATGTGCCTGATTCTTTTCATCACGTTTCTGTGTTATTACTTCTGCCATGATTTCCATGGTATTTTGTGGAGGGGTGGGGTATGACCCAAGTAAGAACCCATTCAATTTTGTTGCAATGTTTCTTTAGCATTGTTGTTGATTTCTCAGATATTCATTTTTGGACCTTGATGAAAAACATCCAACACATTTAGGGGACTAAATTCTAGAACAGATTTGGATCTGGTGAATTAAATGTGGTATTAATAAGGGAACTGCAACAATCTTGTAATGCTTCTACTAATTGAATCCAAAGAAAATTGAATATTGAATTGAATAGCCCAATCCTGCTAACAGACCAATAGTAAATGCATGCAGATTCAGCTAACAGACTGCTGGCAGATATTTCACCCTTCAATTGGATATTGTAGATCCATGTTAAAGAACCTGTTGCTGTTCTAACTCAAAATATTCATGTCTCTGCTGTGAACCAGGGTCTGTACGACGACTCCGACTGCGATAGTGCAGAGCTGGACCACTCAGGCAGCGCCGAGCCCAGCCAACCTCCAGCCAACTGGTGAAAAAGGACCCAACACCTCAGCCCGCTCATCAGACTCTGGCAGGTCTGACCTCTGAAGGCCTCGTTCACCCTCACTAAGAGAACGTTTGTGTCGTGATCAGGGACACCGCAGAGAGTCGGGAAGTGAGGATTCGTCCACGAGCTGCAACACAGAACAAATCCACTGGAAAATGTTTAGCGAAATCAAACCCCCTGTGACACTGGAAACCGAAACATGCACGTTCTGTTTGAGATAAACGCACCACAGGGACGTGAGAGTGAATCGGGGCAGTAGTGGAGCTGACGGAGCAGCTGCCTCCCCTGTTCTGACACCTCAGCGACGGAGGCCTCAGTCAAAAGAGGTCGTATACATCAACCACAACCACCCATGTCTCTTCTCATCTTCCATGTTCATTTGTATTTCTGTCTCCGTTATGAAAACATGTGTCATATCACAACACGTTAATGAAATCCTACCAGGGCTTCTGTTATATTCTCACGTTACTTGACGACAACTGATGTTGCAACTTGCACTTAATTTATGAAATGTTCCGATGTCCATGTGATCATTGTGTCACGTCCTCTCATAACGTTATGCACTGACTAATTTATTCTTCATTTACAGTGAATCCATTTACTTTTTGTTTTTTGAAAGGAGAAGTTTACATTTTCCATGTGTTGTTTACATTTTTTATTTTTTTATTTTATATTTGGAACTCGGATTACGTTGTCATTTTCTACTCTTGCGGTTTAATATGGATGTAAATATGTGACTCTGTACAATGAACAAATTTTTAAAACGTGAGATTGTATAATTTAAAGGTGCTGATGTTTCTAATTAGGTGGAGCTATACTCTATTGGAACCTCAAGAAGCTTATGGTAGTAGAATGTACTGTAGCTGCTGTTCATGTCCGAGCATCGAATCACAAGAGAAAAGAGGAGGATCGTGCGAACAAGGGAGAAAAAAAAGCAATATGTCTGCTCTGGCACAGTATGTCCGTACCACATGTGGGTTCATTCAGGGCAGACAGGCTTTTTTATACTAGTATTGCAGTGTTTTATTGTATTAAAATACAAGTCTGGTTTGGAAAAATGTGTGTACGTATCATCGAAAAAAGGCACGCTAGTGAAAAGAGGTGGACAAGCTCATTGGATATTTATGATTCAGTCACTGTTGGTGATGAAAATGAAAAATTAGACCCATCCACAACTTGAGTCATAGCAGGTATTTAAAGACAAGTGTAAATGAGTGAAGGCATTTGGATGACGGGGATACAAAAACACCAAAATAAACCTCAGAATGACTGAAAACACATTATTACACTCGTTCGTTCAGTGGGTTCAGATAAAGGAGTAGGTGTCATGTGTGGAAATGTAATAATGTGGCGAATTTTTGCAAAAACCATCTTGATTCTACACTGTGGGTTTTAACGTTTTATTCAATACATCAGAGAGAATTGGTCTCAGGCTTCCGTAATGTCAGGGAGTACATTTTCCTGATTTCTGTACTCTCATAAAATCATTGTACACCTAAAAATGACCTGTGACACCACTGTTTATCCCTTTATTTCTTGCCTACCTCTAACATAGAAGATTACCACACAAGCCCACAGTGTGGTTCATCCGTTTAGAGAAAGACCAGTCCCACTTCATAGTTACTAGTATCATAAAACTGTGGTTCTGATGTGCTTGTGTCCCCTGACAGGCCTTCTTAATGTGCATTTGATTCAATCTGACTGTACAACAGCACATGACATCCTGTTCCATTAATCTATAACTGATCAGGTCAAAATCAATAAGCTAGAAATGGCAGCTTCTGTTTATTTTCCTGGTGTTTTTAAACTAAATGATCCCCAATGTTCGAAGCTGGGGAAAAAAATACTTGTGCAGGAGAATGTTGCCAAAAAGCAAACTTACTGCCCTCTAGTGTCTCGTTTCCCCACGATGCTGATTGAAACAACCTGGTATGAACTGAAATGTTTGCTTTTTATACTGCATTATTGTAACTGTACAATAAATATATTTAAGAAACGATTTAAAATAAAATCAAGCCTGTTAAAACTCTCAACTTGTGCCTCAGTTTACTTTCAACAATTATATTATTCAATTCACCTCTTTATAAACATTTACATTTTATTCATATCAATCTATACTATTAGGAATTTAAACTGATTTATGTTACTGTATAGTGTATGTTTGTAAATGTATACCTATTTATATCTATACATGCACAACATTTTCATATTTATTGTGTATATGTACATATAATTCTTTATACTAAATATAGTATATTATATGTTCATTCATCCTGCATGCATTACCTGCTTATACATTTATAACAATATATGCATCAGGATTCACACTTCTATTTCAATATCTCCTGAAATACAATGCACTCTTTGTATACCCTCATGCAATCGTCCTCTGGCACTTTATTGAAGTAATATTTCTACAGTAACAGGTGTATATTATGAACATATATTCTGTTGTAGTTAATTTGATTTTAATTACTTTTGCCCATTTTATATTTTCACATGTTCTCTTGTCTATCTCTCACTAGCTGCTGCTGTATTATGTTTCTTATGTTATCTCATGTCTTTAAAAGTGACAGAAGACTCCAGACAATTTGTGGTTTGAGCATTTCATATCTTTATTTCCATTTTTTTTAACAATGTTGTGGCACCCAGGTCTACAGTCTCAAAAACGTGCACAAAAGTTTTTTCTTTCCTGCAAATAAAAAATAAAATAAATTCCGACTTGAGCAAAGCAAAGAGCAGGAAACTAGTGTTAACTCACAACTCTTTCTTTGTCTAGTTCCAGAGCATCACTGATTTCAATTCTCAGCCTCATCACATTGAATTGACAGATCAGTCAGTGTCCAGGAGTTAATCCCCCTTTGGTAGTTAAAAAAAAATATTTCCTCCATTTAAAACAAATATTCCAACATTTTTTAAGTATATATCAGTCTTTACAAAAAAAGCGAGGAGAACCCTCTGCTTCCGATCCCTTGAGCCGAGCCCAAACCCCAAAAACCTCCCAATCCCAGCAAAATATCCACATATGATCTCAGGACCAGGAGAGTGGGGGGGGAGACAGGAATGACATGTAGAGTGGGGGAAAACTGACATGCGTAGTTATACAAATTTTAAATTATCTGGATAAATTCATCTGTGAGTGTTAGAACGTTTGTCATCATAATCAGATATAACCGGTGACAGTGAGTGTGCAGCTACTTTTTCCTCAGTGACACGAGCATTATCCATGTTACAAGCACTTCAATTGCAAAAGGTGACAAAGGGGGAGAATGCTGCGTTTATTTGAAGTGAGTGTGGACGTGAATCAGACCGACTTGTGGAACTGGGTGAGGAAAAGAGGGGGGCGTATATTAATGGAATAAAACAGTCACTCTATTATTTCTGACACTTTTGTTCATTATTCATTTTAGTCTTTTCCTCTTTAAAGAAAAAACTCAAGGTACAGAACTAAATCTATATGACTATTAAGAGTTTTCCAACTCTACTCTGTGATGGCAAAGAAAGGGGGAGAGAGTGAGGGATCCAACCAAGAAAAAAAAGTCTAGTAAATAATTAAAACCTCCAACTCCACTCAAAAAGGGGAATTAAAAACCTAATCGTTTGTTTCTTTTGACTAAAACCAAAATGAAAGAAAATAAATAATGATTTGAGCGAGTCAAATCAGTGGCAGTTAACATTAAGTCTCTCTCATTAAGTTGGGTAGTTGCATTTGACTGCTTTATGGTAGCCGATGATATAAAAGTGAGATTTAGTGCAGATGCAGTGTCTTATCAGTTGGCTGCCAGTCCTGTGGCCTCAGAGGAAAGCCTGGAGAGACAGACAGAGAGACACCCGGAGACCGAGGAGGGAGAGAGAGCAAAAGGCATGCAATCAGACAGACAAGATAAATGTCAACCTCATTAACTGTACATTACATTATTACAATAAAATTCTGTATAAGGAGTTCAGCTAGAATTGCTGAATGGGAAATGTATGTGTCGATATAGAAAAAAAGAACTGCTCCTGTTGTCAATAACTTTTCTCAACAGCTGATCGATCAGAACTCTTAATAGTTTGGAGCCGTGTATTTAAAATGTACTTTCTGACTTGTATCAACTAAATATGAAGCTACAGTCAGCCGGTTAGCTTAGCATAGACTGGAATCATGTTTACAGCACCCCATCACTGTGGTCTGCTCTTCTCACCACAAACTCTTAATCTGTGTCTTCTACGTGTGAGACATCGCTTTATCCCCGTGAGATATTGATTTTCTTTGTTTTTTTCACCCCCCCCAGTTTTGGTCAGATTTAACAAATGCCTTATAACATGCAACTTTTAAAAAGGCAGTAGGTGGATTTCCAGTCTGTACACTAAGCTGACCAGCGACATATGTACTATAAAATCATGCCAGTGAAATTTTCTTTAACTTTGCAAGAAAGCAAAGTACAACGATTTCCTAAAATGTCAAACTTTTGAAGCTAAACTGAATTATTTCATATCAACACAATCTAAAAGGATGATTCGGTGCCTTAGATACCTGAGGGCAGATTTAGTTGGAATTGAAATTACAATATTTTCTTACATGAAGTGATTACATATAGTCTCCATTTTAACAGCTAACATTAGTCACTTAAAATTCACTACAAGGGAAACTAAACCGATAAATACAGTTTGACATCTTAAAGAGAGCTGCTACCTGAGCAGAGCTTACACAAAGAGAGAAATGCTTCAGTAAACCAGTGAAAGTATTCACTGTCCATGCTAAGTTCAAAGTCATTTAAAAATATAATGCACTCAACATGTCGTTTCTTAAAGAGACAGGCCAAATCAAGCTTAAGATACCCATCTTATAAATATGGCAGCAACCACCTATTCTGGCTGTATATCACGTATTTGTGTGCATTTGTTTTCGGTTGTAAGCTTGGCATGGCACAGCCAGATACAAAAGCAAGTGCAGGTACAGACAACAAAGAGCACTGTCAGTACTGTAGTAGTAGATGACTTGTGTTTCCTTCATTAGTAAGGGGAGAGCCTTCGTCTTTTAGACTTGGAGCCGAGCTCTGGGGCGATTTTTGGCTCAGTGGGGATTGGGTGTGCAGGGTTACTGGCCCCGCTGACAACATGGAGGGCCAGGAGAGGGAGGGGCTTGAGACTGAGGAGACTTGACACACAGGCAGGAGAGCTGGGGAGCAGGGAATCAGTAGAGGAGGAGGAAGAGGAGGAGGAGGAGGGAGGAGGCGGCCCTGGAGCCAACAAGGACAGTGGGATGGAGGCTGAGGGGGGCACCACACAGGAGGAAGAGGAGGAGGAGGAAGAGAAGGAGGAGGTAGCAGCAGAGGAGGTGGTGGTGGTAGTAGTAGTAGTAGAGGTGGAGGGAGAGCACAGGCTGGTCTGTTCGGGGTTCAAGGAGGAGGAGGGAGGAGGTTTAGAGGACTCTACACTGTAGAAAGAGAGACAAGGAGAGAGGGACAACACAGTCGGGATGGGTCACAGGGCAGGCTGGTGAGAAATGGGTGGGAGGGGGGGTTACAGGTAGGAGGGTAGGAGGAGAGGTGGGGTGTGGGGGAATCACTCAGGGATGTGACCAAAACACAGGACAAAAAGCTTCATTAGAAATTAACAGATCAGTTACAGTTCAAAAAATAAATATCTCCAGTGATGGATTAATGTGAAGCTGAGATGAAGGGTAGTGAAAAGAGACATTTGTAGACGGAGAAAATTAGCACAAATATGCAAACGAGAAAAGTTTATGCATTGCACACGTAAGGAAGTAGGCCAGGTTGGAATTCGCACATGTTAGGATGTTAGGCACACAAACATATGGATTACTGTAGTACTGAGACATTATGAGAAATTAAATAAAAAGCCCAGCACCACAGGATTAGGTTTATAAACAGAAAAAGAATCAGGCAGGGCCATGTATCTTTACGTTTGTATCTAAATTCATATAAAACCTAAATGCAACATTTTGATTTACTGCGACTGAATGAACCCGACAGAAGCTAACATTATATAAGTGATTATCTCACCTGGCATTGATGAGGTACTCCGCCAGACTAATGCTGGCAGGCGAGCCTGTGATGGTGACCTGGCGGTCAGTTGATCCGTCCACTGGATTTGCAATCTTGATCTGGGCGCCCGACATTTGCCTGATCTCATTGATCTTTGCTCCTTGGCGGCCGATAATGCACCCAATAAGCTACAGAGGGGAAAAGTCGGAAAGTTATCTGTCAATAAAGAATAATAGATACCGGATAACATTATGAACAAAAGTCTCATGTTAAGTTATCAAACTGGAATTATCCTGAATAAAGGATTTTATACCACAATGTTGGTGGTGTAATAATTTTTATATTACACATAGTCATACAGCATGGTTTAAACTAAGATTCTTTTTCAGTTTAATGAAGTACATGTGATAACACTCATCAAATCTGTGTAACACTGATAGAAAAATGTATTTCACACTCACATCATTTGGAATGGTCATCTCATGGGAACTGGTCTGAGCAGAAGCATCGATCCCTTAAAAATACAGATAATGAAAAATAAGAATTTAATAACCCAGAACAATTTTGTCAAAATGTGCAAATGTGTGGCACTTGGATATAGCATCAGATATTATTATTGTGAACTGATCAGATTAATATAATTCAAAAGTCTCCCTGAGAAGATTTGTGTAACTAATTGCAAAACCTAGACTGGTTAGATTTTCCCTCTCAGTTAGTGTTTTGTTTATATTGTTTTTAACTGGATTGCAATGTAATAAAGTCAAAGCAACTAGTAGCGAGTAGCTTTTAAAAAATAGTTAAAGCACAATTCCAAAAAGATGCGTGATCACTATTCAAAATAAAACAATGGTATTTCTTTTCTTTAAATATATCTGAGGAAAACAATATGCTTATTGTGATGTTTTTTTTAAGCAAAAGCATTAAAACGTTGCATTGAGGGGCGGTGGGTCACACCGCACTGCGTACCAGTGAATCCCTGGTTGCTTGGTGCGATGGGGAAGG